AAATGGGCTCTGGCAACCTCTTCGGCTCCGGCTCTGATTTGAATCAGTTGCAGGAATTCATGGCGTTCAAGACATTGGAGTTTGTTTTGTTTTTTTGTTTTTGTTTTTGTTTTTTTGTTCAGGTAATTCAAACCAAACGTCTTCTTGTCGTCGTTGTCCTGGAGATTAAGAAATAAGAAGACATTCGCTTTCAAACAGTAATTTTGAATTTATGTTTCTTGATACACGATGCGTCTTAGTGAAGTCGGTGAAAACAAAATTTTTAAAAAGTTTTATGGCTCAGAGTATTTATTCTCCAGCATTAGCAAATACAAAGCCGCAAATAGCACTTGGTTCCCCTAGTTGTAGGCCTACCTCTCAAAACGTCTTTCTCCACCCCACCCCACCCCTTTCCCCATCCCCAATCCCAACACACAATAAACATAGTCATGATTTATTATTAATCGGCGCACAGCTTAATAAAACAAATTCTATTTGACGTCGTATATCTTATCAGTGGGTGTTGCACCTTCTCTCTCTCCACACACACACACACACACACACACACACACACACACACACACACACACACACACACACACACACACACACACACACACACACTGTGCACACTTTCCTTCCTCTCGCTTAGCCATGCCACGAGCCAGTCGAATTAATTTTTAAAGCCCTTGATTCAAATCAAAGTAACCGGGGTCAAGATATCATTTACACTCATTCACACTGCCGAACCACACTAACAGACCATGCGGTAAGAAAAGTCAACGGAGAATTCACAGCAATATAAATGTTAATAGACCTATACATAATAGATCTATAGCATGCTATACAATTAGTTCAATAAACGGTGCATTGAACAGAATTTTAGGCTTAACCTTTTCTTACTCAAATATTTGGTAGGCCTACATAAACTTGTCATCCTGAAGTCCATTAGGGTTTCGCTTCTACCTACCAATATTCTTTACCATTGTGGTAAATGATGCGGTGTTCTTTCGTTTGTTTTTTTAAAACAAGAAATGAAACTGACACTAGTGACAGCAAAAGGGGGTGTATCTTCCCACTCTAGCCTACTGGAAGAACCTTTTTTTAAATGCCCCCCCCCCCTCCAAACTCGAAGATAGAAACAGAAAAACATCCCTTTCTGCAGTGCAAAAAAAGAGCACAGTAGATAATTGGACAAAGGCACCGGAGATGACACGAGGACAATAAAATTAAAACTTCGTAGTGACAGGCGAATACTTCCGAATAGCCTTCCACCACAGAATTCTACACTAAGTGTAGAATTCTCTGCGTTCCACAGACAAGGAGTGAGGAAGTGAGTCATTTTCACGAGAGGTAAAATAGTCTAGTAATCGAAATGAAAAAGATGATATATTAGGTATCGCTTTTTATACACAACTTTTATTAACTAAAATTACCATTTACTTTAAATACACAGATACATTAGAAGATATATTTTAAGTGGATATAAATAAAGCAATGAGGGTGAAATCAGTTGAGCCTTTTTTGTTGCTTTTATATAGTCTCTGACCATGTCTTGTGTCAATCGAGATATACATATATCGATATGACTAAATAATAAATACTCACATTCGATTCTCATTGTTGTTCGTGGATGTGGATGACTGGGAACAAAACTGCTGGGGCAAGGGATTACAACAGAAATAAGTGTTGATCTGAACTTGATTTGTTTCGCTTTTTAAGAAAATGAGAGGGCCTCGCCTATTGTCTATTCGTTTTTCTTTAGTCTTCTCTTTGGCTGTGGGGATATTATATCTCCCTTTAGCCTTCAGCTCATTGTCGGATGTCACAGTGGATGTGTTTGGCAGGGAACGTGTGTATGGAATAGTCTCAGCATTCGGAGACTTGGACGCTGACAAAGCCACTGACGTGTTCGTTCTTTCCGAGGACGGTATGAAAATTCATTTGGGAAGAAGTTCCGCAGAGGGCTGGCCAACCGACAATACGCAAAAGACGGGACGTTTTGAGTGGGGCATACCCAAACCCTAACCCTAAGCCTAAACCCTAACCAGACTGCCCCCTAACCCTAACCTAACCCTAAACACTCGCTACAGACAGCGAGCACCTAGCACACCCCGTGTTTGGTCCAAATATAGATGATGTATTTCTGCCATCTAGTTTTGTCATCTTCCGGGGTTTCGCCCAAGACTCTAGGGTTTCCCTTGCCAGTAATACTATGATCTATCTCGCCGTGTTTGTCATAAATTTAAAATTAAATTTGTGATAAATTTTTTTTATATTAAATCAATAAACAATCTCAGCAATTCTTGTTCCATAAATTTACCTTCTCAAAGTTGTACACACATGCACACACACACACACTCACAGTAGTAGAGAATCTTTGGTACTTTTAACCGATCGCGCGCTAAGCAGCGGCAAATCAGGCGCGCCACGGTGAGAACTAGAGTCAGCTGGCGAGGGAAGCCCCGGAAGACGACAAAAATAGATGGCGGAAATACTCTATATCTGGGCCAGTCACAGAGGTTTGCTAGGTGCTCGCTGTAGCTTCATGTACCCTAAACTGTAATCCTAACCCTAACTTTAACTCTTGTATACACATAGTTTGCTCAGTGGACCTTGTCACAATTCATGCCAGCCCTCTGCGGAACTTTTCCCTTCATTTGTTTTTGTATGCATTTAATTAATGTATATTAATATTCATTTCTTCATCACATTGTCTCTGAAGTCTCTAAAAATGTCATCGAACTGATCAATTCAAATTGAAATCTAAAGACATAAATTGATTGGCTGTAATATTACTAGCGTTTAATGCGTTGACAACAGAGATTGGATATGATATATATGAGCAAAATCAAGTGTTTACTGTATGCAAAAAGTTCTAGAGGGGTGAAGATTCTTAAGCAGTCTGTGTTTCTTTATTTCATTCATTCATTAAAAAATATTGAAATATTCATTTATGTAGGCTAAGGAAAGAGGTGGAGAATGGGTTGGGCTCGAGCCATTTAGCCTTTCACTATGCCCCACAGCAGTATAGACTGAAGAGTGTTGCCCAGTCAGACTGATATTAAAATTGTCTATAATCTAGTGTTGTTGTAATAAAGATAAAGATCATTTAGAATTTATAGATCACAATAACTGAAGTCTCCACCAAAGTTCGCGGTCTAAGGAGCAAGGAAAATACGTGATCTCAGTCGAAAGGGATTTTCTTACCTGAATGTTCTGGGGGGGAAAGTTAAAATGATCTCCTTTTATTTTAAAATGAAAAGAAGTGACCACTGGGTGGGGTTATGGCGAGCCACACTTTTGCTCGGTAAATAATTACCTGAAATCCAGGCTCTTAAGAAAATATAGCCCTTTAGAGTGTGATTTTAGTTGACTTTTTATGTAGTTGTAAATTGATTATTGTTACTAAGCAATTATTTTGTATAATAACCGTTTAATTTTGAACCTGTTTATTTGTTCTCTGCCATTGCACTCCTCAGGGAAATCAGTCTTCATATTGGAAGCTGATATCGATATTGATTTAAGAAAAGATTTTACTGAGTTCAAGAAAAGAACATTCATCGAAGGCAAACCAGAGGATGCTGTCATCACAAGTGTTGTGCCTGGGGATTTTAACAGTGATTCACAAATGGATGTGCTAGTTACAAGAAAGCCTAAACAAGATTCAACAGAAGTTACTGTAGAAATTTACCCTGGGAATGGAGCTGCAGCAGGTATAATGGTTCTGCATTATTGTGTGCTGTATTGTAATTGGAGATAAAATTGTTTTTAAATTATATGATTGAAGCCTATATCGCTAGCCGCGTGATTCAACCGCCTAAGTGCCAAGAGACAAATTTTTCAGGAGAAGCAAAAAACTTTTATTTGTTGTGCTCGTAGCTATGAATCTAAAATTCAGAATATATGATATGATGTCAGACGATGGTCCGTAACTAACTTTTTAAAAAATATCTTTATTTCATAAAGTTACCGGACATAGGCGGTTTAGACTTACCAAGGTCTGCGTGATTCGACTGCCTAAGTGACAGCATGACGGCGTCTAGGCGTTTGAATCACGCTAATCAACGCCACTCGTCGAGCGCCTGTGGTCGCTTGGGCGTAAAAATATTTTCCAATAGTTGTTCCGAATGTGAAATAAGCAGCCCTTAGCTGTCAATCGTAGACTTTTTAAAAAAATTCATTCGTCAATAGCTTTTGCCACAATTTACCGACTTGGTCAAGACAGCATTAACATATTTTTTGGTGCCATTTTACCCTTTCTCAACAACACTACCAAAACCTAGTGATAGATTATGGGTAGGCGAACTGCCTTTACAAAATCATCTAGCTATCGATAGGGTTCAATCTGAGTCGAAGCTAGCAAAGGCAGCTCTTTCTGTTGATGTTACTCTCCAGTCTGTTTTGACAAAGGCCACAGTCGTGTGGGTCGGGTCGCCTACGTGACAGGTGAACACCTCAACGAGCCGCTGAATCTGCGTGATTCCAACGCCCATTCGCCACCGGGCTGCAAAACTGGCACTTGGGCAGTTGAATCACGTGGAAATTGGGGACTGGTGTGATATAGGCGATTGATTTACTGAAGGATTGAAACACTTTGCAGTAATCTTTCAAACTCAGGATTTTAACATAAGGTGTATCAAAAGCTGTAAAGGGAAAGAAAAGTGATTTTCGAAAATTTTGTCACTTAGGCGGTTGAATCACACGGCTAGCGATATATATTTTTATATAATACTTCTGAAAGGGGAAATGCAACTTTTCATGCTTAAGATTTAAAAAACATAAAAAAGTATGGTGGCTATATTATAGGGCCTAAAATACCACTGGCTTATGGCCTAAAATACCACTGGCTTAATGCTTCTGTTTGTTTTTGGTCAGCTTTTCTATAGAAATAGAATTTATAGATCCTATAAGATCCTAGTTCTCTGGGACAAAATCAACCAAGATCTCACTTTTCTTCACATGTAACCTGAACTTGTACTTAAACTTTCTTAGTACTTTGACTTTGACTTTACTTTCGATTCTATACTTTATTATTCTTTTGTGTGTAGTGGTTTGCATAAACTTAAGCAGACATGTGGGCAACTATATTTTCACTAAGGTAAACTAGGATAAAACTCTATCAAACTCTTTACTCCTCGTAGCTGTTTGTATGCCTAACAAGTGTTTAACTATCTCATCCAGACATGGTAGTGAGAGAGAACACAGAGGCTACTTATTTATTTGTAGTTACAATTCAGACATTATGATAATATTATTAACAGGTTTTCTTTGCCATTACTTGAAATTCAAGAGCCAAAAATATTTCGTCTTAAAGCATTTACTTGATTTTTATTTTTGATCTTCTTTATCCTCAGAGAAACCACTGACTTTGACTGAAACATTCCGAGACCAGCCAGTTGTTATTGAGTAAGCAGTACTATTTTTGCATTCGTCCGTTTAAACAAAATAATATCCTTCTGATATTTTTTTAGGTGAATTTTAGTGGGGAGAGGGTTGATTGTATTTTAGTTTGAATTTGCAAAGTATTCTTTTTTGCATCTGTGACTACAATGAATGCACATTATTTTTAATTGAGTTGGTTTTCATAAATGGTTTAATTTTCTTTTTGAAAAAAGATGTTGTTAAGTTTTTTTGTCAAATGTAGTGTTTTGGGTTCATTCAAATTTTTTGAGCAGTTAAAAGTTGAAATGATTCAAGATAATAATTTACGTGACTTGTGTTTTATGTCAGGTAAACTTGATACATCCATCTGTATTTCACAGCTGGAATGGGGATATGATTCCTGACTTATTTGGAGAAACAGCTGATGGCAGAAGAGCTGTTTGGATATTTGTGTAAGAAAAGCTTGTTAACCTTTTTTTTTGTTTGTTAAAGAATAAATGTAGTGGAAGCAAAGATAGTGTCTCTGCTGCAAGCATCTATAATAATCGAGATATCAAAATTACTGGAGAAACAAGAACTTTTTGGCGTAAGACCACTTACAGAGCAGCCATTGTGAAGCAAAACTACAACTTTCTGGGTGAAAATTCTCAGTAATAGAAGATACTCATTGTTTTCACTCATTTATTTGCATATTGTAAACCATTGATCAATATTTGTTATTTTAGTACAGTTTGATCTTCTGAAGTCCTAATTTTGAAGTAGGTGAAAATGGATGCATTGCTACTTAAAAAGTTATGGAATTGACTCCAGCATCAATGATATCATGAAAAGTGTTAGCCCTTAATTCCTTTTGCTTCCTCCCTGAACCTGATATCACCTGTCATTTTGAAGTGTGTGCATGTATTTTGTGACATGCAGCAAAACACTACTGTTAGGTTACCTTTCATTTGAAGAGCATTGTGCCTGGCACCATAAAGAAAGGGGTTAGGTGGGGGAAAAAACTGTTATTTTCCTTGTCATACCCCTTTCTTTATGGTGCCTGACACTGAACACAGGTTGTTGAATCTGGTCTACTACTTTTACTTCTGTCCATTGTTACTATTGTCTTCATCTGATCCTGGTAAAATGTGACTACCATTATGCTGACTTAAACCCAACTCAACTCAGCGCAATTTTAAAAAACCAGAACATGCTGTTTGTTTTCCAGGAAGAATGGCTCTTACGCCATGGAGTATGTAACCAATGGCACTGAAGGGAAATTGCCTCAGCTGAGGGTGCCTCAGTCAAGTGCTTTTCTGGATCTGGATGGGGATTTGACAGCCGGTACGATTGACATGTTTGGTATTGTGTTTTCAGCGTGGGATCAATTTTGAGCATCTTGTCAAAGTCATGGCAGTTTGATTTTTGCAAATTAATTTCTCATTATTTATAGTTTGTACATTCCTTTTTTCTCTGTTGTTGTATTGTCATTCCAGCAGCCTGCTAGTTTTATTGCTTAAAGAATGGATAACCCATGGAAAAAGTCACCTGTAACTTGCCATATCCTATAGACTGTCAGTGCTTTTGAAATTGCATTTCTTATAATGTATATGATCTCCAAATGTTGCTACTGCGGTTGTTACCCTTGTATTTTATTAATTAGTTTTCAGAAGTACCAAGAACATTTACTTGTAGTGAAGGGTAAATATTGTATGGAAAGATTAACCTTTTTAATATTGTTTGATTCAATCCCGTTGGCCTCAAATCGAATTAGTTGAGTACTTTTTGTCTGGTTTTGTTCTGTCAGTCTGTGGTAGAAAATCGCAACAAAATGTCAAAGTTCATGAGAAAAATATGGTTTGTCTTGGCAGCTAAAGCACTTGGGAGTGAATTTTCTAAGTAATATGGATTTATGTACCTCTTTAAAAGATTTATTCTGTCTGTATCTGTCCTCACTTTCGAAGGAAGGTGTTAACCATACTGTCAATAAAGCAAAAAGGCTTTGTTCCCTTAAGGAAGAGTGGGGGGGGGGGGGGGGTAGAAGTGTTTTGAGGATTTTTATGCTTTTGTTTTCAAGAAATACTTGTTGAAGTCATACATTCTTTCATTCGACGTGGGATATGATTATAAGACTTATGCTTAGTCTCCATCTACATTCTTATTTTCTCTTGTAGATCTGTGTGCAGTGTCTTCTGTGGGTGGTCAAGTGTCTTTTGAATTCTGGTTGAATCAGGTGAGATGATGTTTTCTTTGTGTGCTCTGTTGGGTTTTTTTTTTTTGGGGGG